AGAATCGGGTTGAAGCGCGCGATTTTGGGGAGTGGAGACAAATCGATCGATAGAATAGGATGGAGTAGAAGTGTAAGATGTGAATGCAACGAAGCAGAAGGCCAGAAAGAGCTTCTAGTGAATGCACTCCAAGAACCAAGTTTGAGCATCCCCGTCGCCAGCATTCGTGAAAGACGTCCGTGGGCAATTCGAACGCGTAGCAGCCTTTTCGAGTTTTCGAATTTCTAATCAAAACGAAAGCAATACTTCAGTTCTTTTCACTATTATCGTGGATAATGAGTCTCAAGCCAGTGATTTATGGCTGAAATAGAATCATGATTTTTCCGCGCAAGATTCCTTTAAAGATCGTCCATCCATCGCAAAGTCCCGCCCAATACGCAACGCCCCTCGAGTGGTGCAAAACACCACTCGATGGGATCAATCATCGATAGAAAAGAGGTCGACAAATGTGGAGATTAGAAAGTGCATGTAGCTTCTGTTGTGTTTTCAAAAAATTGCCCAAGAAAAGTCAAGGCACTTGGTCAAGAAAATCTCCGGAAAACTCGTCCAGCATCGAAACACAAGTTGACAGGAGACAGCCGCCTCCCTTGTTTTCGGTTGGATTGGACGAGACGTTTCAAGCCTTATTCAATTTTTTTACGGTAAAACTTTCGCAACAGCCAGGACTACTTTCAATTTATATGGGACCAGCAACATGTAATTAGCACACGGGGAATCGGGGCCCACCGCCGTCCCGAAAGGAGCCCCGTAATCCATGTACGAGCAGGAGAAACACGTTGCACTCACCTGTTATGAACCCAAGAAGCGTTGTCATAGTGTTGTTTCACCGACATGAAATCCCGTATTGAATCACGAACTTTGTAACCTGAAAGGAGAAAATCTCACTCGGAGAGTATAGCTGTAATTTTAAACGCTTTGCGTTTCATTGACCCACTTTTAGACCCCAGCCACTGTACTATAGTGATTCGACAATGACATGCCCTCCATCGTCTGTGAGCGTTCATTCATTTTTGCCCCTCCCTTTTACAATATTATTATGGACCTTCAATGGCCCAGGTGGCAGCGATGGCACGAGCACAGTCCGAGAATCGAATAGTAGATCCTACATGCCTACAGGGCCTTCCATTCGTACGAGTCCGGTGAATTGGTAACAATTTGTCTGGCTTAATGACGACTTGCATTGGCATGCCCTCTCAAACAACCACACCTTTTCAAATGGATGTAAAACGCGTGGCGTACCCGAACGAAAACCGATCAATATAGCTAAAGAACATTCTTTGCTAAAAGTCTTCTTATCGGCTGCTCCCGAACGCGTCAATCTCATTTCATCGCTGTAGGATTTGAGCTTGAAGTGGAACCTTGTTGAATTGTCCACTGAGATGGTGTAAGGTTAACTCTACCCGCGACTACGCCCCTGTCATGCAGGCAAGAGACTGTGGCTGAACTCTTTGACAAAAAGCAAAGAAAACTCGTTCCAGCCCTATACGCGAGCGAGGCAAAAACATTCATTAGCCATAGCGCTCAGTGCAAAAGCTATACACCATTGTTTCTATGTTCTTCTTAGAGCGCCACCACGTCAAATTTTTCATAATCGTGTCTGCAGTTGATATCTGCCTATCAGTTTTTTGTAGAGTTCAATTCATGTCATTATTCAATATAGTCATTCAGTCAGTACATGGTTCGGAACCTACAACCGGTAGCTTATCAACTATCGCGAAATTTAGCCACGTTCAAATGTAGCGACCTTGCTAAAATCGTGTATGGGTGCGATTCCATCGTCAGCTCGGTAAGGTAGTCACGATCGTTCATGGGTACAGTAGCAATGAACTTTTTGTCTCAAATCAAAAACTATTAGTAACCTGCAAAGTGACATTTGTCCTCTCCGGAAATCAGTTCACTCATGGTTGTTTCCGATGGACATTTTAGCACTCGAAGGAACATTTCGGCATCACTGTCTGAAACGTTAGGAATACTCGCTGTATAATGGAGATCTTCTCAAAGGTGCGAGGCACGACAATTTGACTCTTTGCATATGGTAGGTACGTGGTAGATATGCCAGGCTGACACGGGAGCCGGAGCCTGAGCAAGCCAAGCTGGAACGTTTTCGGCGATGGGAGGGGTGGGGTTCCAGAGCGACCTATTGTATTCCCGCTAGGGCCAACCGTGCAAGGCGGAAGCATATTTGTGGTTTTCGGGAGGAGGATCCTATTTGTGGAAGTTGGGGTCGTAGCTGTGGGAGAAGGGATCGCTTTTGACGAGTTTTTGACGACTCCAGGGAAACTAGAGGGAAAAGTTATGGATGAGAGAGAATTATAACATTTCTTATTTATTTCTATTCATATACTCCTCCCACCCACGCTCCCCCATATTCCCGCTCGACGGCCGTTCGGAGAGAAAAAGTGGGAGGAGTTGGAGTGTGAGAACCGCTCTCAGAATCAAGTGCTTCGAAATTGGCTCCACGCAAGGATTCTCCTTGATCCATACGGCACTGGGACCCCGCCTTTCGAAATACAGAGTCCGCCACTTTTCAACCTACTTAGGCTATAGATATTAAATATTCGTACACCTTACCTGTAACTACGAAATTCCGAACAATTTTGAGGTTAATGGCAAGAGAGGCCATGGAGACAGGCATCAGTTCGCATAGCGAGGCAAAGTGATCGTACCTTCAAATATAAGGCAGTAAAAATGAGGAGTCTGACTAAGCATTCAGGAAAAACAAATGAAATGAATGGAAGCTGGAAAATTCACCTTTGCCAGCCTGTGAGAATAAAACCGTGGAAATCGCTGAAAAGTTCACCATGTTCTTCGGCTTGTAGGAACCTGAAACACAACTGAGCCATAATAACTGCCATAAATTAGCCAGTAACAGTCGACTGAGAGGCGGAGCGGTTCTGATGACGTCATTGGCCGTCATTGGTGGAAGGAGGTGAGCTGGAAGGGACCACCTTCTAACGCGCGGCCACCCATGACCTCAATTACGTCATCAAAAACCGCTCCGCCTCTCAGCCATTGCGTCTGCTATCAATGAGGCAGGCGACGACGTCGTGAGAAATCTATTGTCGAACCCGCAGTGCCACCCGTACCCGTGCCTGCCTTTTAAAAATTACGCAAAACGATTTTTGGGCCAAAAAAAAAACTTCTGCACAAACCATTGTCTATTGTTTTGGACGTAAGTCTTCATGCGATTCCAGTATCGATTTCGGTCCGTCAGCACCTATAAGCTCCGAAAGCGTGAAAGAAATATAAAACAAACCAGATACAGTTAGCCTTGGGCTAGCTGTAGCATCAGGTCACACATTTTTAGGCTTGAAGTCTCACCTTTGAAGGCACTTGCTCCCCAAACCGTGGAGAATGACTCGGCCAGCTCCTCCCAC